TTCAAAAACTGCCAGTATTGTAAGACTCAGAGACTATAAAATCCAGCTCCCGGACGAGACCAGTGCAGTCTCCTGCCCCTGCGCCTGGCTGTTCCTCGCCGGGGTCCCTTGGAAGGGAGCGGGTTGAGCTTTCCTCCCCGCCCCGACCAGGGCTCCGGCAGCGGAAGACCTCCAGGACCAGCCACCACCATGCCGAGACCACTCTCCGCACACATGAAGGTACTAGCAGAGGGACAAAGCCACGCGGGTTCCGGGGCCGAGATCTTCAAGCCTACTCGGATTGGAGTCGAGCATTTTCCACCCAGATCCTCCAAATTCCAGTAGGCGGGGGTCACACCCACCACCTGGCCCCCTGGCCCTGTGTAATCCCACCAACGGCCAAGACTCAGAGACTATAAAATCCAGCTCCTGGAACCACGCGGCCGCTCAACATCTTATCAGGACATCTTTTTATGACATCTTATTATCTCATTCCTACTTTGGACAAACTTGCAGGCTATCGAATGTAGCCTGCCCACAGGGCAGAGTCTGGCAAACTCCCCTTGGCGTACCAAATATGCCAAATACCAGTAACAATGATGGGTCTCATTCTCCTAAAGAGCCTTGAATATAATCTCAGGGCTAGGATGAAAGAGACGTTACTGGGGCCTGCTTGAGGCAATCGACGAAAAACAGGATGATGAATGAATGAATGAATTGTAAGTTTAGATGTTCAGTTGCATCATCCTCTTCCTTTTGGTGGTGGTGGTGTGGGGGGGGAAGGGGGGTATGGGGGAAGATGGAAGGGCACCCTCTGGTAGTGCATAGGGGGCCCTTTCCAGTGATACAGAGCCAACCAGACTGAATGGTTCAATGCTTGCTTCCAAGGATGTAATACTACTTTGTCTCAGTGGGCCCCCCCCAGCTCTGCTAGGGGTCTGGAGGGCTACACTTTGCAATGCTGGGGATCAGGCAATGCAATACCAGGAATTGAAAAGGGGTCCTGCCTGGAGACCGAGTCCATGCTATCTCCCCTGCCCTTTAACCTTCTTTTTAACCATTATTTCATCCCTGGCACCATGTGGTCTCCCCAAGTTCTTGCCAGGTGTGACCCTGGTAGCCCCCAAGCACCACTAAAATGGCGATGGTGGACCCTGGCACTGCAGGGTCCTATCACTGAGCTGCCAGTCCAACTGGCAAAATGTCTCTGGGAGTAGCCCTGGCCCCTGAGTGCTGTCACCTATGAAGAAGTGGCAAATGGGAAGCCTAGTCACCCCCAAAATATTATAAAGGAGGTATGTGCTTATAATAATGGATTTTAAATACTACTAGTGATTATAAATTTAAAAGACAGAAGTCCCCAGGCTAGTGTAATGGCTTAAAAGAGCTGGAGTGCAGAACTTTGCTTCTGGGAAGTCTGGATTTGATCCCTGACACTCTTTGGTACCCTAAGCACTACCAGAAGCAACCCCTGGGTATTGAGGCAAGGTAACCCTCAGGGTGTTGCCAGTTCCTCTCTCTGTCACTGCCCCCCAAAATATAAACTGCTTTCCCTGGTCAGGAATGTGGCTCAGGGTAGAACAGATGCCTTGCTTATATAAGACCCTAGTTTTCCATCCCTGGCTCTTCGAAGGCCCTCCTTCAGTTCCTGTCCTTCCCCCCAAATTGATTAATGGTTTGGTTGGTTTATTTCCAGACTTGGGTTTGCTTTGTCATCCGTATTTATACAGAGCTGTCTGTTTCCCCCACTCATCTTTCCCTTCTTCCTTCCTTATCATTTTTATGTTTTGGGTTATAGTGGAGGAGGCTAGAGTTCATTTGTTTGCTTTATTACCAAAAATAATATAATATGTTTATAAGGAAGTTGATCTTTATTTTTTTAGCTGTTACAATAAGTATCTCATAATATATAAATGTATACACTTCTGCTAATATTAGTATGAGGTGGATTCCTAGAAGTGGGATTATTGGATAGGTAATTGAGCACCAGCTCTTTTAGTTGGACTCTGCCAGGTTTCTCTCTTAAAGAATTCCATCAGTTTATGAGTTCACAAAGAATATGAAATATTTCTAATGATAATGAATCATTTCTGCAACTATAAAGATTTAAACTTTTATATAAAGCTAAAAGACTTAAAGAGTCAGATAAAGAAAATGTTATTCAAATGCCATTTTAAAGTATGATTCAGAGATTATCAGTGTTAAAATCTTAATGATTCCACACTGGGTAAGGTTCAGTAATTTTTGTTTTAAGCAGTTCACTTCTATATGATGCTTTTGAAATCTCATCTGTGGGCATGGCAAATGAATTGCTTTTCTAAAAAAAATCATTACTTTATTGTTACTTTGTTTACTTTCTCTATAATAACTTTTACAACACTGAAAGTAATAAACTTTTAAAGGATGATAAATTAGAAGCTTAAAAAGTTTATAGGGGCTGTAGGGCACAGCAGGTAGGGCACTTGCGGTTGACCTGGTTTTGATTCCTGGCGTCCATATGGTTCCCCAAGCACTACCAGAAGTAATTCCTGAGTGGAGAGCCAGAAGTAATCCCTGAGCATCACTGGTTGTGGCTCCAAATCAAAACAAAATACAGATTAAATAAAAACATTTATAAAATATGGCATTGCCATCAACATTGTTTCTCAGTGATATGGTGTAACTCAAAGGATATAAAGAAATTCAGTTTGCTTTGGGAAGATTTAGAAAGCCCCAAAATATTTTAGAATTCATGGTATAAATTCTCAGAATAATTTTTTAATAATCACACTATTTATCACATTGCTTGGGAAACACACACACACACAAATACATATACATGTGTGTGTATATATATGTAGCATTGAGAAACAATGTTATATATATGATACATGAGGGTCTTCAGCACTTTTATTTCCCCTTTTGAGAACTGGCATGCTTTCATTTTGTCTGGAGTTTCAGTTCTCTGATGGTACTGCATGTGATTTTCTGTTGGGTAGTACCCCAGACACTTGCATTTCTGTTCTTATCTTTCTGCCTTTTTTTTCTTCTTCCAGTGAAATTGGTGTTACTCTGGGATCTATCCAATATTCTAATATGCCCAATGATTCTCTCTTTTTTTTTAAAAAAGCTCATATTCTTCATCTGAATCAATGATTATACATTTAACTAGACTTCTGCAAAGTTCTTTTTGGTTTATAAACTCTATCTAAAATTTTCAGTTGTTATAATCCCCAAAGAACCTAACCAGTGTAAATTCCACTTGTAAGATAAATGCAGAATCATTCTCTTCAAAATAGAACCAGTTATTGGTTCAAGTAGAGGATGTCTAAGTATAGAGTGCATGAAACTAGCCACTGGAGTATGAGAAGAAACTACTAGAACTTTTCATAGATTTTACTCTCAAAATATTTAAATTTTATTATATAATAATCACATATATTTTAAAGGTACATATTAGACATTTTTAGTGTATATGATCAAAATCATTTGTTGACCAGTAAGTGAAAGTGTTCTGCTGATGAGTAGATGGATTTAGCTGTTTTCACTTGTATCCAGCTTATGTCCTTTTCCTGCAGAGCCAAGAAATGAGAACACTCAGCTAGACATCTTGAATACATTCTTTTCTTTGTGTATGGAATAATACAAAACAAGAGCATTGTTTATAATTATCGAAAGTGTAAAGTTTTTTCCCTTGACTTTAAGAATGCATGAGAGAGATAGTAATGAGGTTGCATTTAGCCAACCCTGGTTTAATCCCCAGCAATGCTTCTGGTCTCCTAAGTACCTCTAGAAGTGACCCTTTAGCACAAAACCAGGTATAACCCCCAAGCACTGCTGAATGGCGTCCCCAAATCCCCCCGAAAGCTCCCAAACTGTAATGCATATACATTATAGAAAACTTAGAAGGTAGAAGGAATGACAAAAAAAATCTATGATCCTTACTCCCTCAAGACAATCAAAGAGTAACAAAAATCTATGGTATGTGAAGTTTGTGAGCCAGAATCTTTTGATTCATATTTGATATTTTTTCCATTGTTCACTAAATTTTATTAATTCTTTATTAAAGATGACTTTCCATTTCCTTTTATAAAAATTCCCATTGCACTGCCTTTTAGTCTCTTTCCTATATAGTATTTGGAGACCAATAATTTTCTTTTCTATCAATTTGTATAATAATTGAATGTAAGAGAGAGGAACCCACATTTAATAGGTGTTTCTGTGTGCCTTCTGTACATTATCACATATTTTATCATACTGGTCCAGTGAGACTGGGAGGGAAACAACGGCCTGATTTCACAGATGAAGAAACTCTTTAAGGTGTTGTCCTTTTTCTTGACACTGTATTCATGATTTTAAAATGTTTGGCATGCAGTAAGAGCTTGATAAATACTTTTTTAATTAATCAGGAAGTGGTTAGGTGTTGGTTGAATTCTAAGCAAAGTTAATAACATGCAGAAAGACAGAGTTGTGAAAGAACGTGTGGGGTTGTTAGGTAATATTGAACTAAGGCAGATAAACATGTCTACTTGATTGATTAAAGAGTCCATGCCAATGATAACTTTTTAAAAAATCTAGTAAAGTAAGTAAAGTAAAGGCCCTCCCGTTGATCGTCGATTTGCTCGAGCGGGCCCAGTAACATCTCCATTGGAGACTTTGTTGTTACTGTGTCTGGCATATCCAATACTCTCAGTAGCTTGCCGGGCTCTCCGAGAGGGGCGGAGGAATCGAACTCGGGTCGGCCATGTTGGCCGCTTGTAAGGCGAACACCCTACCCACTGTGCTATCACTCCAACTTTTAAAAAATCTAATTTATATTATTTTTATTACATACAAAAGACATAATGAGGGAAATACGTGAGTGGAAAATGATACTGAAAGTTCTAATTATTTTGTGCTCCTTTTAAAATTATATATGGGCTGAATGCATTGATTTCTTAAAAGACAAAGAATTTGAAATAACTGTGATCTCTATAAGAAAAACATGTGTTTATCTAGTGTGGGAAATTCACATTCCTTCTTTTTTTTTTTTTTTTCCCTAGTGACACTGGTACAGTAGCTCCAGAAAAATGCTTGTTTGGGGCAATGTTAAATGTTGCAGCAATTTTATGTAAGTAATGAGTGTTTTTTCTTTCTTTCATTTTTCCTTTCATTGTTTTTTATTTAATAAGTATTTATTTACAGTGCCATTTTATGGCAAACAGTAAATGATTAGGATATGATATTCCAGTTGGACAAGTGTACAAAGAATGAATTTCATCATTTCATTTCATCATCCTGTTATTCGTTGATTGCCTCGAGCAGGCCCCAGTAACGTCTCTTTCATCCTAGCCCTGAGATTATATTCAAGGCTCTTTAGGAGAATGAGACCCATCATTGTTACTGGTATTTGACATATTTGGTACGCCACGGGGAGTTTGCCAGACTCTGCCCTGTGGGCAGGCTACATTCGATAGCCTGCAAGTTTGTTCAAAGAATGAATAAAGAGATATAAATATGACCTCAAAGGTAGCTCAAATATGACCTCAAAGAGCTATACGATTTTGTAAAGTAGGCTCTATCTAACCTGTAACACACTCCTTCTTGACCTGAAGCCGCTATTTTACACAGATCGAATGTTCTAGAAGTGATTGTCCTAATCTAGAAGTCTTTCATCTTTTATTTTGAATGTTATAACTTTCAAAATATTTCAAAATGTTATAACTTTGAAAATAGTAGTGAAATAAGGTTTTGATATTTAGGGCTATTCTAATACAAAAGAATGGACATAAGCAGTATTTTGCAATTCTCTTACTTATTTTTGGAAGAAGATTTTTACTAATGGTTTAGAAAAGTTTCCATCAGATGCTTTAAAAAAATTTTATTCTTCTTATATTTACTCACAGAAAAAGTTGAAGTCAGAGAGTTAGAGTGATGGTATAGTGGGCAGGGCCTTTGTCTTGCATGCATCCAAACCAGACTCAATCCCTAGCACCCTATATGATCGCTGGAACACTGCCAAGTGTGTCCCAAAACCAAACAAAGTGCTGAAGTCAGGAAAATGATTCTGTTTATAGGAGGTCATATTAGGGTCAATTTTTTCACTACATTCACAAAAGCATATCTCTATTAAATTGTCAACACTTTTGGATTTTTGGAAATACATTCACAATGAAAAATTTGGTTTAGCTCTTTCCTGACCAATCAGAACAGTGACGTGTTTTGGTTTTTTTTGTCTAATTATTATTTTTTGTTTCAGCCATCTTATAATTTGAAGTAAATGAATACTAATAATCTTTTATTTTTGCTTATGCTCATTTTATTCATGTATGAGCATAATTACTTTAGACTTTGGTGCTAATCACACAGAATATTTTGTGTTTTATAAGACCATCATTAGAGATTGTCCAAAAACATCAAACTTATCTCTTCTGTTTATCCTAAAGTTTGGGGGCTGGGGAGATAATATAGTAGTTAGGGCACTTCCCTCACATGTGGCCCACCAGGGTTCGATCACTGACATCCCATATGGTCCGTGAGCACTGCCAGGTATTGTTCCTGAGTTCAGAGCCAAAGTAAGCCCTGAGCATTGCCAGGCATGGCACGAAAACAAAAACAAGCAAAAGTTCTTTTTTGTTTTTGTTTATTTCTATTTTTATTTTTTGGTTTATTTTGATCATATCCAGAGATGCTCAGGACTTACTCCTGGCTCTGTGCTTAGAAATTCTCATCCTGATGCTCTGGGGACCATATGGGATGCCGGGGATGGAACCTAGGCCACCTGTATACAAGGCAATTGCCCTACCTGCTGTGTTATCTTTCTGGCCCCTGAAACAAAATTTCTTTAAATTCTACAATTATTTTGCTTTGTTCTGTTTTGTTTTCATATCAACTTTAAAGAGAAATCTCTTTCTAGGTATCAGTGACCTTTGTAAACTCTTGTTGGCAGCTTAATTCCTTGGCCACTTAAGATTTGGCTGGCTTTTTGGTTATTTTTATTATATCTTCCTAGGCATTGCTACCATTTATGTTCGTTATAAGCAAGTACAAGCTCTGAATCCTGAAGAGAATCGTGTCATCAAATTAAACAAAGCTGGACTTATAATTGGATTATTCAGTTGTTTAGGACTCTCCATTGTGGCAAACTTTCAGGTTTGTATTTCAGCCCAGGATAGATATTTCATGAAGTATATAATGCTCAGTTATATATTGTTACTGTTTCTTTATCTAAAGATAAAGAATCTGTTCCTTTTTTAATTTATTGAACCCGCTTAGAAATCGCAGCATTCACACAAAGTGACTCATTAATTTGTTTTTCTTTAGTGAAAGACATATGTTCCATTATAGCATTATACATTAGTTGTGTATGTGTGTGTGTGGGGCGGGGGGGTGAGAGGGAGAGGAAAAGAGGTGAATTGGGATTTTTCCTCACAAGTGATGCTCAGAGCCTGAGGTCCCCTCCTGGCAATTCTCAGCCAACCTGCCCTGAGGATGAGGTGCTGTTTGGTTGTATAGTGTTAGACCCACAAAGATCCCACCTCCAGGGCTACAACATGCAGTTGGAGGAGGTCATCATTTGGTGCCAGGGATCAAACAGGAATCCACACTGGGATTGGACACATGTCTTGCATGTCCCCCTCTACCTTGTCATATCTCCCCTGCCCTAAATTAACTCATTCTCAATACAAATATTTGTATATTTGTATTCAACAAATATAAATATTCTAACTTCCTAAAAATCAGTTGTTAGCTGGAGATTACTCTCAGACCAGAATTGACTATGGAACACAATTAGAAACTTAAACTTTTAAAAGTATGCCTGACAAGTTACACTCATTTTGTAATACAAGTATACATGACTTTGTGTTCTTGTTTCCATGTTGTTATTGACTGCTTAAATTCCTAGCTGCCAGGACCCTTGTTTGCGGAAGTCCAGTGAGGACCTTTGTGGTCTTGTAGCAGTGACCCTTCACCAGATGCTTGCAAACTCCTTACATTCCTTTCTATTGACATTCTTTCAGATAAGTCTGTGAAAGGGAATATAACCTGAGCATGTTACACTTTTTGAATAATCACTCTGCAGTTCTTAGATTCAGTTCAGACTTTTGATAACCCATTAGAACCTCTAAAAATTGTTCAGACTTACACTCATTGTACAATAGTAATATATAGGCGTTTTCCGTCTTGCTCTAGTTTTTTGTTTCTTTTTGTTTTGGGGCCATCCCAGTGGTACTCAAGGCTTATTCCTGGCTCTGCACGCAGGGGTCTCTCCTCAGCACCCATATGTGGTGCCAAGGGTCAAATCCAGGTCAACTGCATGCAAAGCAAGCACCCTGCCCACTGTACTACCTATCAGGCCCCAAATGTAATTTTTTGTTGTTGTTATTTTGATTTTTGGCTACACCCAGTAATATTCAGAGGTTACTCTTGGTTCTGTGCTCAGAAATTATTCCTGGTGTTGCTCCGGGGACCATATAAGATGCTGGGGATCAAACTTGGCTCGGTCACATTCAAGGCAAGGACCCTATCCATTCTTGTATTGCTCCAGCCCCATTTTCTGTTTCTCTTATTCCCACTTCTCCATTCCTTTATTTCTCATTAATCTTCCCTATTTCCCACAGTTTTAAAATAATGAAACAAAGCCCTAGATTTCAGTGGTCTAAATAGCAAAAGTTACTTTCATACCTGTGTCCAAACCCAGTATTTTTTGGTTATAGGCAACTTTTCTCCCACAACTAATTAGGATCCATACTATCTTTTTGAGGGCTTGCCATTTTTAACATTTTATTGACCTCTGGATCTCACTAACTGAAACAGTGAAAGTAGAATTCGTCCCTGCTCGTTAAGAACCTTGGCCTGGGAGCTGGAGCCATAGCAAAGCAGGTAGGGTGTTTGCCTTGCACGCGACTGACCCGGGTTTGATTCCCAGTAACCCATATGGTCCCCCAAGCACCGCCAGGAGTAATTCCTGAGTGCATGAGCCATCAGTAACCCTGTGCATTGCCAGGTGTGACCCAAAAACAAAAACCAAAAAAAAAAAAAAAAAAAAAAAAACCTTAGCCTGGCAGTGAATCAGATTCCACTAACATTTATTTATATGGTAAATCCAAAGAAGCCTGGAACAATATCAAGTTCCCAGGAAGCTCTGATATCTTGAAAGGCACACAAAACTTTGGTGGACCACTAAATATTGGTGCCATAAGCAGGGTCCTATCTTCCCGGTTTCTAAAACTCAGTATTAAGAAGACACTTTAAAAGAAATTTTAGTGTATGAATGGTGATTCTTTGCTTTAGTTGTTGCTTGACCAATTTTAATATATTTTACATTTTACCACTGTGTAACAAAAATGAATCCCAAAGTGACCTCCGTATATACTGTTTCTCAGTTGTGGCCCACAATCACAGTGCTCAGGGGATCAAGTCATTTTTGTATTGAACCCGAGCCTCTGATATGCATAGCATGTACTGTAGGCCTTTGAGCCATCTCCTCTGCCCTCCACATACTATTTATTTATGTATTTATCTATTTTGCTTTTTGGTTCACACCCAGCGATGCACAGGGGTCATTCCTGGCTTATGCACTCAGGAATTACTCCTTGTGGTGCTCGGGGGACACTATGGGATGCTGGGAGTTGAACCTGGGTCAGCCAAGAAAGGCAAATGCCCTACCTGCTGTGCTGTCGCTCCAGCCCTCTATTTCTTTTAGTAACATATTTGATTACACAGTAAATTCTACTGGAGCGATAGCACAGCGGTAGGGTGTTTGCCTTGCACGCAGCCAACATCGCCGACCCGAGTTCGATTCTTCCGACCCTCTTGGAGAGCCCGGCAAGCTACCAAGAGTATCTCGCCTGCACGGCAGAGCCTGGCAAGCTACCCGTGATGTATTCGAGATGCCAAACACCGTAACAACAAAGTCTCCAATGGAGACGTTACTGGGCCCGCTCGAGCAAATCAATGATCAACGGGAGGGCCTTTACTTTTACTTTTAGTAAATTCTAATAGTAGTTCCTAGTAACACACCAAACTCTTTTTTTTTTTAAATGTATGAGTACTCCTATTTATTCAGCCACGAATTAGCTGATTGAATTGGGCATGAACTCCACCTTACTTTTTTTCTCTTTTTTTATAATTTTATTTATTGAATCATCGTGAGAGCAGTTACAAAGCTTTCGGGTTTAAGTCTCGGTAATACAATGAAACACCCAGTGCCCATTCGCCACCACCAAAACCCCAGTATACCCCTATCCCACACCCTCCCCCTACCTGTGGGGCAGATGATTTCCACATTACTCTCTCTCTCTACTTTGAGTACATTCAATATTTTGACAGCAGGCCCACCATTATTATTTGGGATTTTACCCCAATACTCAGATCTGCTGAAAAGGCTACAGTGGACAATTTTTTTTTTATCAGTCAGTTTAACTTTTTTTTTATATATTTTTTAATTTTTTTATTATTAGTGAAACACCATGAGGTACAGTTGTAGATTTACAAATTTTTTGTGCTTGGATCTCGGTCATACCACGATCAAATACCCATCCCTCCACCAGTGCCCATTTTCCATCACCAGGATAATATCCCTCCCCCCCATCCCCCCATCCCCCCCTGCCACTGTGGCAGGGCATTCCCTTTTGTTCTCTCTCTCTCCTTTTGGGTGTTGTGATCAGCCAAAGAGGCATTGAGTGGCGAACATGTTCAGTCCAGTCTACTTTCAACCTGCATCTCCCCTCCTGGGAGGATCCTCCAAACACCCTCCACTTGGTGTTCCCCTTTCTATCTGAATTGTCCTTTCCCCTAGAATACCCGGCTGGCCTCTAAGTTATGGAGTAATTCTCCTGGTGTTGATCTCAGCTATTCTTGGGTATTAATCTCATATTTTGTTATTTTATATCCCCCAGATGAATGCAATCTTTCTATGTCTATCCCTCTCTTTCTGACTCATTTCGCTTAGCATGATACTTTCCATGTTGTACCACTTGTATGTAAAGTTCATGACTTCATCTTTTCTAAGAGCTACATAGTACTCCATTGTGTAGATGTACCAAAGTTTCTTTAACCAGTCATCTGTTCTTGGGCACTCAGGTCTCTTCCAGTTTCTGGCTACTGTAAAGAGTGCTGCAATGAACAAACAAGTGCAGATGTCACTTCGGCTACACATTTTTGCCTCTCTGGGATATATTCCCAGGAGTGGTATCGCTGGGTCAAATGGGAGCTCAATTTCTAATTTTTTGAGGAACGTCCGTACTGTTTTCCAAAAGGGCTGAACCAGTCGGCATTCCCACCAACAGTGAAGGAGTGTCCCTTTCTCGCCACATCCGTGCCAGCAAGGGTTGCTTTTGTTCTTTTGAATGTGGGCCAGTCTCTGAGGTGTGAGATGGTATCTCATTGTGGTTTTGATCTGCATCTCCCTGATGATTAATGATGTAGAGCATTTTCTCATGTGCTTTTTTGCCATTCAGATTTCTTCTTTGAGAAAGTTTCTGTTCATTTCATTGCCCCATTTTTTGATGGGGTTGGATGTTTTCTTCTTGTGGAGTTCAACCAGTATTTTATATATCCTTGATATCAACTCCTTGTCAGATGTGTATTCGGTGAATATTCTTTCCCATTCTGTAGACTGTCTTTGTATTTTGATCACTGTTTCTTTGGAGGTACAGAAGCTTCTTAGTTTAAGATAGTCCCATTTATCTATCTCTGTTTTCACTTGCTCAGCCAGTGGCGTGTCATCTTTGAAAATACCATTAGCCTCAATGTCATAGAGGGTTTTGCCAACTTTGTCTTCAATGTATCTTATGGTTTCTGGTCTGATGTTGAGGTCTTTAATCCATTTTGATCTTACCTTTGTACATGGTGTTAGGCAGAGTTCTGAGCCCATTTTTTTGCATGTAGCCGTCCAGTGATGCCAGCACAATTTGTTAAAGAGGCTTTCCTTACTCTACTTCACATTTCTTGCACCTTTATCAAAGATTAGATGATCATATGATTGAGGGGAGATGTCAGTGTATTCAACCCTGTTCCATTGGTCTGCAGTTCTGCCTTTGTTCCAGTACCATGCTGTTTTGATTATTACCGCTTTGTAGTGAAGTTTGAAGTTAGGGAGGTTGATTCCTCCCATTTTCTTTTCCCCAAGAATTGCTTTAGCTATTCGT